GGATAAATCAGGACAAAAACTTTAATTAAGAGGAAAACCTTGAAATTATTATTTTTTTTTTACTTTTATTAGTTTTTCTGCAATCATTCTCATATAAATAAATAAAGTCGTAACTTTGACAAGATTTGCTAAAATTTGAACTTTAATAGTTTATTTTCTGTTTTGTTATGCTTCTAAATATTAAACAGCAATTAATTAACACACTAAAAAAATCAACTCTGTTTTGGCTCTGCGATCCCCCCCCCCAAAAAAAAGAAAATCTCTGATTTTTTTCATCCCAAATTCGATTTTAGATTTTAATCGATTTTGCTTCCCACTTAACGGAGTACCTCTGTTTCAGGTGTCAAAACTAATTTGTTGTACTCCTGCTTTTTGTAGCAAGTCTTTAAACAGATTTAGCAGTGAAGTATTTGTTGTTCCAAGTTTGAGGTTTCAAAACCTAATCAGTTCCAGAAAACTGAAGAGACAGTGCCTTTTTTGGGAAGCTGATCCTCTTTGCTAGCTGCCATATTGTCATGTTATGTACGAAGCGTCTTGAGGGACAGGTGGGGTGACCTCTGAACTACAGAAGCCCCAGAGTGCACTGGTGGGAAAACAATCTCAATTTACCAAAAATTAAATCTTTATAAATGGAAAATTCGAATTAATCGATTAAATCGATTGATCGCCCAGCCCTAGTTTTGGTTATGAACACCACAAATAGGCTCGTTATTGACCTGCCACAAATTTTTGTTCATGTGCCAAAGTCTCTAAATRTTCTATGCAGACATATATATTTAAATTAGAGGCCTATAGCATTAGTTGAAGGAATGCACATTCATGTCAGAGATTTAAATTAAAAATAATCAAAGGAGGAATGTTGCAGCAGTTTTGGTCAAACCTTGAAAATAATATTAACTACATTCACTATCTCAAGAAGTCACCCTCAAAGTATGTGTTCTAAATATCTCTCAACTACCACCACATGCAATTTTATCTCAGCATTCATAAAACTGACTGTGTTACAGTCATAACGTTAATCGGCTGTAGATTTACATCAATCTGCATTAAAACACTGTATGTCTTCAGGTCCTGGAGATGCACACAGACATGCAAAAAACTTTATCATCTACCTTCACATTTGGGCAGAGGCTGATAGAAAACTATACTGTAGATTTAGCCTCAAATATCCCAACTTGGTCATAAACTACTGGATCTAATTTCAAGCACCCAAACCCCCTGAATGCACGGACATATTTTATGAAGGGACAAATWTAAGCCCTTGTGTTCTGCCTCTTTTTCCCTTTTAGCTCAGCTGAGCAACAGGACGATACCAACGAGTCAGAGCTCCATGCTGCACCTCCAGAGTAACATCCAGCACAGCCCCCTGGGATTAAGCATCATCAACACCCACAACGGCAGTGTGAGTTTTCACCCAACTGCAGGGAAAGTAAAAYGACTTGGCATGTAGTTTAATGGAAAACGTCCCTGTACTCGTTTCACAGATGTCTCCGTTCTCCATGAGCGGGCTGCCTTCCCCAGGATATCAGTGCCCTACCTCAGTCTACCAGCCCACATCCCAACAGGTGTACCCTCTGACTCAAAACGGACAGCAGGTGAGATAATGAAAGACCAATGTTGCACCAGTGAGAAAAAAAAAGTTCAAAATAAGGTTTTTCATTGTTTGTTTTCTCTGTGTCTTAGWGCTCGGCTGGTGGGCTTTTTAGCAACGTTTCTTTCAGCAACCAAAGTCTTTTCACACAACCTCGTCTGGCTTCACAAGAACAGGAGCTGCAGCCCAAAACTTTCCCCAAACCCATCTACTCCTACAGGTGATTACACACAAATATCTACGGAGTCTCATTCACCCACCCTACCCTGGAATGATTTAAATATATTTATTATTTTTCAGCTGTYTGATTGCCATGGCTCTGAAGAACAGTAAAACCGGCAGCCTCCCAGTCAGTGAGATCTATAGCTTTATGAAGGAACACTTTCCTTATTTTAAGGTATGGTCTACTGGTAATTAAACAAATAAYTACTGAAACGTATGAATAAATCAAACAAATATACTTTGTCTGCAGACTGCGCCTGATGGATGGAAGAATTCAGTCAGACACAACCTTTCCTTAAACAAATGCTTTGAGAAGGTGGAGAACAAGACGAGCAGCTCATCCCGTAAGGGCTGTCTGTGGGCGCTGAACCCGGCCAAGATTGACAAGATGGAGGAAGAGATGCAGAAGTGGAAACGCAAGGACCTCCCAGCCATTCGCCGCAGCATGGCCAACCCTGGTCAGAAACATATTTTAGTAAAAGGTCAAATATTGTTTTTTTTTAGACCAGTCTTGACCGTCTGTCTTGCTTCCAAACAGATGAGTTGGACAAACTGATCACAGACCGCCCAGAGAGCTGCAGACGAAAGCCTTTAGAGCCCGGTATGACCCGGCTGCCTGGCTGTGCGACGGGGCTCCCATTAGCGGTGTCAGCGCAGATGCAGCCTCAGCCCATAGTCACGCTGTCCCTGCCGTGTTTACCCATGCACCAGCACCACCAGCTTCAAGCTCAGCTCCARGCTCAGGCTCGACTGGCCCCCATGTCCCCTGCTCCGGCCCAGACGCCTCCCCTCCACACCGTCCCTGACCTCTCCCACAGTCCCCTCACCCAGCAGTCCAACAAGCCCCCAGATGATTTTTACAGCGTGCACAGTGACACAAACACAGAGGTAGATGCACTGGACCCCAGCATCATGGATTTTGCCCTTCAAGGTAAACAAAGCTTTTTTAAATCGGCCAAATTATGATTTTGGTGTTTGGCGTTTTTTTTTTTTTGTAACAAGCTGCTGGTTCAGAGTCCTGACTTTCTTGTTTCATTTATGTCACAATAATTCTTGGACAATGTGGCACACATTAAAGATAAAACCTTTTAAAACTGGTACTGTCGTTAGCTGATGCAAAGATGAACCTGTGTTTCACCACAGGTGCTTCACCAAACAAAATATGACTAGAGAATTGAATGCTTAATCATGAAAGATTTTTGCAGAAAAAAAAAGAGTACAAACATTTGGTAATTTGTTGTAAATTAGCCAAAAAAATGGAAATTATCAGAAAAATAGCTACAAAAGCAATGAAAAAGTTTAATCTAGTACAAAAAGGCAGAAGGAGCACGTTTACTGAATTAAGCAGTAAGAAGCTGAAATTATCACTAACATGTGAATGTAGCTGGAAAACACTAAAATTTGCTGAAGTAGCTGAAAGTAGCTTGAATTGCAGAAAACASCTGAAAGAAGCATCAAAAGTGTAAAGTAGCAGAAAGAAGCCGATAGAGTAAAACATTTTTAAATCAATTGAATAGTTGAAAAGAGCAAAAAGACATGAAAATAAGAAAAAAAGCTACAATTCGCAAAAAAGAAACTGAAATTAGCACAAATAAGTATAAAAAGGTGAACGTGCCATAAAAGTTTAAACATTTTGAAGGGTTTTACGGATGTGAAATGTAAGCCAACTCATTTTCAATGAAAAAAAAAAAGGCCAAAAAGCCTAGATATCTAAAAAAAAGTGTATATAAATAAAAGAGCTGAAAGTTTAGATGTATACATTTTTGAAATGGCACAAAATTGTGAAATGAGACATGCCAAGAAACATACAGAAAAAAATGGATCATCTCAATAGTGTGAATGCTTTATAGCACTCATTAAAGGGTAATCAATGCAATGGTATGACATCATTTCTGAGAAAGATTTAAAAAACAGGAGCTCAAATGAAGGGTTTCTGACAGAACAGCTGCCGAATTTTCCAAAAAGGTATTTTTTAACCATAAGATGTGCAAAAATTAAAAGTTTATGCAACTATGTGAACATAATGTGTGTTTGGTAATGAATTAGGTTGCTTTATTTAGAAAATAACTTCAGTGTTTTTGCACTAACACCTTGACCCATGTGCTCAGGAAATCTGTGGGATGAAATGAAGGACGACAGCTTTAACCTGGACGCTTTGGGAACATTCAGTAACTCTCCTCTCCGACTCTCAGACTGTGACTTGGTGACAACCAGCCTCCCCCCTGTCTCCAGCGGGGCGAACATGCCGCTGTCAGACGTGCAGGTGACGGGGCTCTACACCTCGTACGCCTCGCAGGACCCCCTGTCTTCACAGTACATGGGGACCCCGGCCAACAGCAAGCCCATAGCCCTGCTTTAAAGGAACTAAACCCATTATTAATCACATTCAACTCTGGTTTGTGGACGCCATCAGAAAAGAAAAGAGAAGGTCTGGTTTCTTTTGTGCAACAAGAAATCTTTGGACCCTGGAGAACATTTGGAGAAAAAAAATAATAATTTAAGTCGACAAGAACACTGGTTATCAGGAAGTAAACTGAAGGCTGGAAGAGAAATATGTTGAGACTTAAAATATTTAGTTTTGCTAAGCAAAGACTGAAAGCCTGTTTGAGTACAAAGACTTGGTGGCGAAATCTGTGTAAAATAGCATCCATGTGTTTTTCCTGTGTTTTCACATTATGTAGCTCCCAGTCTCTCGTTTGTTGTGTTGTGTTAGATGTTCTTGCTGTGATGTTTTATTTATATTTATAAAAGGCAGCTAGAGAAAGTGATGACTCCATCAATCTTTTGCTGTATATACAGTATATTCGAGTGTTTGAATTTGCCACATAAAATCTTTTTTTTTTATCGATTCATGAATCCAAAATACATCTCAGCATTTTCACATCGCTCCTCTACACTTTGTGATTAACAAGTCTGCAGGTCAAATATCTGCTGTGCTCATTAACACAATCATAATAAAATAAACAAAAAGCTTTTTGTATTTAAGTACAATCATGGAAGTTTTTATTAACAAACCTCCCCCGTTGAAATAACAAGGAACAGGAGGAGTTCACTAACATTCACATGAAATGTCATGGCTGATGTTTGATCTGAGGCAAGGCGAATCAACACATTGTTCATWGGGACCCCTTTGGCAAATGGTGTCCACTCTTTACAAACCTGAGTTTTAAGCACTGCTGCTTTACACAGAGAGATCAAGGCAAAAGTAAAAATAAATGTTTGAAATGATCGCTTCTGTAATTCAGTTCATATTCTACACATTCAGTAGATAAACAAGACAAAGTGGAAAATAAAAAGACAAACTATCATTATCATCAAAACTGAAATGTCAAACACGACAGATTTTTTTTATAAATGTCCCTTTAAAAGTTATATTTCTAAAATAAGTACTGTTGATTATTGCTGTTTTTACAGAAATAATTCAGATTCAACTGATTTTAAACTTTTGTGACACGTATCTGTTTTTCTTAAGTGGTTTTCGAAGAATTAAGTTTTAAGCTTATTTTGCATTTAATACATTCGAAGTCAAACACATTTTTTGTTATATCTTCAACTAAAAATCATAACTAGCACCAAAGTATCAAGTATTTAGCTTCTGAAGCCTGATGAACTCTGGCTTCGTCAGACGGCACAGGGTTCGTTGAGAAAAGTTTAACACTGATTAATTTTGTGTTTAAATACAGCAAAGTCAAATGTGCGTTACAGTGAAACGCTGTGAAGAGCTGAAACGATTTGTTGCTCAACTTAAAAAGACACTTTCAAACTTTTTGAAACTTTTGTGCGCTTATTTGTACTATACTACAAAAATCCAAAGTTGTGTTCTTTGAGCTTTATGCCTTTTACTACCAAAGTGATTCAGTGCTTCTACTCTGTAATAATACAGCATACTACAATAGTGTATTGGTTGTCTTTAATAGTGTAACCTGATGACGTCCCACAGGTTAACTGGTGCTGGTGCTGTCCATAGTGGCCAGCAGATGCGACAACTTGGCCCTCTGGGAAGGAGAGATGTTCTGACTCATGTGGATGATGCAATCCATGGCGACGTCAGGGTTAGCCTGCACCAAACTGCGCGCAAGAAGGACATCGGATGCAGACAATAAATATTTACTAAAGAAACAAAAGCACCACTTGAAAGTATTTTACGAAAGATGCAATAGTTTATGTTTGTGCATCTTCAAACTCCATCAGTAAAATGTAATTAAGACTTGCAAAGAAACAAAGCTTAGACAAGGAAACAAAATATTGCCCGTGATAATTCAGCTCCTAGTTAACATTTGATTAATGCATCTCTTTTCAGCTTATTATAAGAAATATAATATTTAGCTGTTTTCTGGTGTTAGAAAAATACAACAAAAGAATAAATACATTTCACCTTCAAAACGACTTGAGTCACCCTGTTATGTGTATAGGGTTGTAAATACAGTACAACTATTTACATTTACAAATGACTGCATCCGATATGTTAATATTTGTGTACAAAGTGTCTTCACATACTGTACCTGCGGATATGCTTCAAAACGTTCTCTCGTTTTAAGTACTTGATGTTTTCTCGAATCACTGAATGGGTGCCATCCTCCACAGACAAATGCTTCTCCAGCCACTCAATCACAGCTTGGTTGTTATCCCAAAGGTAAGCCTGTGATAGCAGGTTGACATAACGTCAAAAAACAGATCAGATTGGTTTTTAACAACTCAAAAACGAGAGCTGGCTTGAGATTTGTTATCCAGAGAGTCAAAAAGTGTTACTCATTAATGATCAGATGAACAACAAACAAGTTTGAATGTTGTAACATAATAAAGGAAGTCATCTTGGCGGGGAAAAGTCAAGATAAAGGCGATCAGGAGTATTAAAAATGAACAGCCAGTAACCTTCAGTCATTTTTATCTTCTGCAGTGTTTAGTTCTTTGTGAATCAGCAGAGAAAGACGCTCTGGTTGTGTTCACGCACCTTAACTGTTCCCTCTGTTTCAACAAACCATCTGCGCAGCATGGACTGCATGTGTCCATCACTCAGATCCTTGTTGGCCTGCAGGATCTCACACTTGGCCACCTGCTCCAGCAGGAGCCGACGGAGACGCCAGTAGAAAAAGGTCCGTGCGTTCTTCCAGTCCAAAATATCCTTTTGAAAAAAAAATCAGATAAAATTTAAATAAAGTACAGGATTTATAAGGCTTAATTATATAAAATAATATACTAATTTAAAAATATGTTACTAAGAAGAACACAAATTAACTATAAACATCATCAGTTGTTTATTAACTTGCCTAGGACTTTATTCTGCAACAGCAACATTTAAAGAGTCAAAGTTTGGTTAAAACTGAGTTTACAAAACATAAAAAAAAAAAATAAATATCCTGCTACTAATAAATTAGTTAAAACTTCAGTAGAGAAACACATTTTGATTTGAAAATAATTAGTTGTAGATTAGTGTCATTTACCACAAGAACTTGTTTATTTTTTATGACTAATTGAGTAATGATATAGCACTATTAAACACATTTATTAGTTAATGTGCATTAATAATAGTAATAACTAATAACTAATGATTGATTGAAGCATCATAATATAAAGTGTTAAGTTTTTCGTTGTTGTTTTGATCTTAATATTGGATCAGTCACGCAGAGCACACTCACAGTGATGACCCCTTTTTCCTGCATTCTGCCCGGAGTGTCATGCAGGTCAACAAACTGCACTGCCACCTGGTGGTAGATGGGTAACAGAAATTCTTCCCTCGCTTTGAGCTTCGCCTCCAGCTCTTTGCCTTCTTTCGGAGACAGYTCTGGAGAAGCTGACCGAAACATTAATGGATATTAGCAACGCAGCAGAAATCAAGAACAAAATTGAAATAAATACATTTTGTGATTTGAGAAAAAAAAATTTTTTTACCGAGCTGCTCAACCAGGTTGGCATAAACTGAATCGAGCCTTCTCATAGTCTTTAACTGGTCCTTCCTCCTGAATTTTATCTCCACTGTGCCCTCAGCCTCCAGCACACCCCCTCTGAATAAAAAAAGAAGAATGTCGAACAAAAATAACAACAATGTAACAACTCGTACAATGTGCTGCATGCAATGTAAGGAAACGGCATCATGTACCTGCTCTCCCTGTCAGCATAAAGCTCCATACACAGAGGGTTGATGGTGGGATCTATCACTACCCATGATCCTCCTCTCAGCTCAGCCTGGGGTGGGATGTACACCAACACTGGCTGATGGAAACCGTGCAGAGCATCAACAATATAGGCCCCAAACTTCAGGACCTGGTCATACATATCTGAAACAGGGAAGAAAAAAAAACATTTACATTATATACTTTCTGCACAGTTATAAATCTTTTTTGTTTGTTTTTGTTTTCTCTAATACACTGAGTAGGACAGAACTTGTGTATGGGGCAAAATAAGACAGCAAAACTCTTAAGAGTAAATTTTAAAATKTATGTGTTACTTGCCAAATACAGAGAAAAGACAGTTTCAGGTACAAGCTTACAAAACACAGAAACAGGAAAGCACAATATATATCCCAATAAAGAAAATCCTTTTTCCACTAAATTCATGGAAGTCTCATTTTATTTGCTGAAAAACAGACAAAAACAGCAGGAGGGTGCTCATACTAACAAGAGCTAAAAAAAATTGGCTGCAGTGATCATCAGGGAAAAGAAAAAAAGTATAAAGCAACCATTTACTGAATGTGTTTATTCTGCTACAATAAAAACCTGACATTTTAAAGAAGAGTGTAGAGTTACGATAATAAATACATAAAAGTGTGAGTGCTTGAAGTCTATACTTTACAATAAACAACATAAGTTAAGTTTCATACCTTTCATCCCCCCAGAGAAGCCCCTCCAGTTGGCAAACACCATGAGAGGCAGGTGTTCACGGTTGAAGTCAGAGATCGCCTGAGCTGTTTTAAATGCAGAATCTGGAAACCACACCTGGCCAGCTTGTTGTAAAACCTGACAAGATCACACAAAACCAAGCTAAAGATGGTAAAGATCACAATAAATAAAATAGTGAATAAATACTAAACGCATGTAGAGCAGCTCACTTTAGATTCTGAGTCCAGATGCGCAGGATCTGCAGGGATTGTGAGCTCGACTGACCGCGTCTCTACTGCAATGACGCCAAGAGGAATTCCTCCTAACCTGAGCCATGCAGAAACCACAGAACAGCAGAGTTAGAGATCTATTTGTGTTTACATTCACGGAGTCAGTCTATGCTGTAAAAGTTTTATTCCATTTTACCTTGCTCTTCCCACTACCACTGTCTGAGCCCAAGACTCCATGATCTCCATGAAAGACCCATGGTCAAAGAATCCACTCTGCCAGGCACCTCTTACTGCTAACATTTCACATGAAAAAATATATTTATCTGGTATATTACTGGCATTAAATATCTGTATAGTCTGGACTGTGTAACTTACTGGGGTGTGGTTTGCCAGTGAGCATCCATCGAGGATCATACGGGGCTTTTGTGGGAGTAAACTCAATCTCTCTGTCTACTGGATCTGTAGTGACCACTACAGGAACAGGGGAGTATTTGTTCTGCAGGATTGTAAAGAAACTTCAGTAAATGAGCTGAAGGCCTGACAAGTTTACTGAATATTTAGATTTAGACAGCAAACATTCAGTAGAACCTTTGGCATATAGGAGAGCCACTGCAGTATGGTGAAGACTCCCTCAAAATCATCAGGCACAGACGTGTGTGAGACCCCATTGTTGTGCATGATCTGAACTCCACCCAGCTGGTTGTTGGAGGTGTAGACTTCTCTGCCCAGAACCTGCACAGAAACCAGACCTTGAAGGACCAAAATGAAGACTTACACATTAAAGTGCCTGTAACGTGCATTCCC